GTCAGAGTCTCCCTCTGTTGCTGAGGCTGGGGTGCAGTGGCGCGACCTTGGCTCACTGCAACCCAGGTTCTAGGCAATTCTCCTGCCTCAACCTCTGGAGTAGCTGGGATTACAGGTGCACACCACCATGCCTGGCTAATTTTGTAGTAGAGATGGGGTTTCGCCATGTTGACCAGGCTGATCTTGAACTCCTGACTTCAGGTGACCCACCTGCCTTGGCCTTCTAAAGTGCTGGGATTACAGGCGTAAGCCATGGCGCCTGGCCTCTTTTTTTTTTTTTTGAGATGATGTCTCTCTCACCAAGGCTGGAGTACAGTGGCACGATCGTGGCTCACTGTAGCCTCAACCTCCTGGGCTCAAGCCATCCTCCCATTCCAGCCTCTCCAGTAACTGGGAATTGTGACTACAGATTCATGGCACCATACCCAGCTAGGCTTTTTATTTTTAGTAGAAATGAAGTCTTGCCACGTTGGTCAGGCTGGCCTTGAACTCCTGAGCTCAACTGATCCTCCTGCCTGTACCTCCCAAAATGCTGGGATTATAGGCATGAGCCACCATGCCTGGCTGCTTCATTTCTCAAAGGATACACTTCTCCCTACTTCACAACTGGGTGAAATCCTCTTTAGTTTTCTCTTAAATTTTAGCTGTTCATTCAAATGACAGATACTGACTGTATGTTCATTTTAGGCTTACAATTCAACAACGGTTGAAATATTTTTCTGGAATATGTGCATCTAATCATTCATCCTATTCATGAATAATTAGACAGATGGGTTGCCTGAGCCCAGGAGTTTGAGACCAGCCTGGGCAATATGGCAAAACTTCATCTCTATAAAAAATACAAAAAAAGCAGCCATGCATGGTGGCATGTGCCTGTAGTCCAAGGAAGTTTGGAAGCTGAGGTGGGGGTATCGCCTGAGCCCAGGGAGGTTCAGGCTGGAGTGAGCCAAGATCACATAACTGCACTCCAGCGTGGGCGACAGAATGAGACTCTCTCAAAAAAAAAATAAATCAATAAAATAAAATAAAATAAATGCTTTTTTTTTTTTTTTTGAGACAGAGTCTTGTTCTATTGCCCAGGCTGGAGTGTAGTGGCAAGGTCTTGGCTCACTGCAACCTCCGCCTCCCAGGTTCAAGTGATTCTCCTGCCTCAGTCTCCCGAGTAGCTTGGGATTACAGGCACACATCATTACGCCCAGCTAATTTTTTGGTATTTTCAGTAGAGATGAGTTTCACCACCTTGGCCAGGCTGATCCTGAACTCCTGATTTCATGATCCGCCTGCATTAGCCTCCCAAAGTGCCAGGATTACAGGCATGAGCCACTGCGCCTGGCTGCCATGGGATTTCGATGTCTGTCATTAAATAGTATTTTTTGTTGTTGCTGAGACAGGGTCTTACTCTGCCACCAGGCTGGAGTGTAGTGGCATGATGACAGCTCAGTGAAGCCTTGACCTCCCTGGGTTCAGGTGACCCTCCCTCTTCAGTCTCCTGGGTAGTCACCAAACCCAGCTAATTTTGGTATTTTTTGTAGAGACAGTGTTTAGCCATGTGGCCCACCTGGTCTCAAACTCCTGGGCTCATGCAATTCGCCTGCCTCGACCTCCCAAAGTGTTGGGATTATAGGCATGAGCCACTGCACCCGGTCAATATGTTTTATATTATAGAGAGAAAAGATCGACAATTATAACCCCTTCAAAATATTCCTACTCTCAAACCATCAATTCATCAACATCTGTGAAATATTTCATGAGAGTTTTAATGGGTATATACATTCTATATATAAAACTTTTGGTGTATTAATTTTTATTATGTTTCTCTATCTTATACAGTCATTTTATGGTGCGGTGGTAACAATCTGTGAGGAATTACCAGCACCCAGAGAAAAGGGCAGTCTTTTAATGACCTAGTCATGAACACGGTACTCACAGAGTTCATTCAGCCAGTCGTTCACATCTTCCATTGTTGCATTCACACGTGTCTCATCATTTGGAAGAGTAATTCGACATCGTGGGTGAAAAATATACGTGGGATCAACTGTTTCTAACTTGATTTTTGTACTTAGCTGCTGTAGTACCCAAAGGAAATTCAGCATAAATCCATCTGTAGACACTAATCTATCATCTGTCTGTGAAAGATGAAAAAAAAAAAGTATTTTTAAAGATTAAAAAAAAATATTTTTTTGAGACGGGGTCTCGCTCTGTTGCCTAGGCTGGAGTGAAGGGGTGTGATCTCAGCTGCAACCTCCACCTCCCGGGCTCAAGCAATCCTCCCACCTTGGCCTCCCAAGTATCTGGGACCACAGGCGCGTGCCAACACACTCAGCTAATTTTTGTATTTTGAAAGACAGGGTTTCACTATGTTGGCCAGGTTGGTATTGAACTCCTGACCTCAGGTGATCCACCCACCTCAGCCTCCCAAAGTTCTGGGATTACAGGTGTAAGCCACTGTGCCCAGCCAAGAAAAAGTATTTAAAATAACAACATGAATAGAAATTTTGGCAAACTTTGTAAAAAAAACAGACTGAGTTTTAAAATATAACCGTATCCTAAAGTAAATTAGAAGACATACATATCATCACCACTGGCATTCTATTAATTCTATTAGCAGGTGCTACTTGTTGAATAGCACCTATTATATAATTATTATTTATATCAGAGACATTTTATACATTCCTTTACTGAACCACCACAATAACTCTTACAGGTCAGTAATACTGCTGTTAACATTTTATACAGGAGGAAACCCAGACTCAGTGACTCTGAAGTGATTTGCCTAAGCCTCAAAATTAGTAAGTAGAAACATAATATATGTTGCTTGCTTGCTTTCTTTCTTTTTTTTTTTTTTTTTTGAGACAGGATTTTATTCTCTCACCCAGGCTGTAGTGTAGTGGTGCGAACACGGCTCATTGCAGCCTCAACTTCCTGGGTGTAAGTGATCTTCCTGTTTCAGCCTCCTGAAAACTGGGTCTACAGGCATGTGCCACTACACTGGGCTACTTTTTAATTTTTTTGTAGAGACAGGGTCTCCCTATTTTGCCCAGGCCAGTCTCGACCTCCCAGGCTCAAGTGATCCTCTCGCCTCAGCCTCCCAAGTAGCTGGAACTACAGGCTTGTGCCACCATGCCCAGATAATTTTTGTATTTTTTGTAGAGTTGGTGTCTTGTTATGTTGCCAGAGCTGGTTTCAAACACCCGGGTTCCAGCGATCCTCCCACTTCAGCCTCCCAAAGTGCTGGGATTACAGGCATGAGCCACCATGCCTAGCCTCTTTCTCCTCTCTATTTCCCTTAAGAGCATCAAAACAACTACTTCCACTTGTTATCATGTGACATTGTTTCTCTAGGTGACAGTATCAGCACACTCCTGCATTAACAATATAACAATGTAACCTGATTACCTCTGTTAAGAAAAAAATAATAATATGACAATAAGAATGACAGTTAACATTGGTTGAGTGATCATTGTGTACCAGGCACCATTCTAACAACTTTACATATAATAAACCCAGTACTAGTATTAACCCCACTTAGCAGATGAAGAAATGAAGGCACAGAGAAGTAACTAAGGTCCTGCAGCTAGTAAACAGTGGAATCACGATCAGAAATCACCAAATTTATGCTCTTCTCTCTATATTTTTTTGCTTCTCAGTATATATGTCACATCATTCATTCATTATTTATTAATAATCAAGGAAGGATGTCCTTTTCTCCTCTGGCAAAGCAGCCACAGCCAGTGGCCTCTGTCACTCACGCCCTTGCAGCTGCCTCCTTGGGTCTGTTCCCGGCTGACCCCTTCTGCTTTAGTCCATCGACATGGCAGCTTTTGTGGTTTTCCTGCTGAAAACCCTCCCATGGAGCCCTGCCCACCCGCTAACTCCAGGACCCACCCTTCCCTCCTGTTCACTCTTCTCCAGCCACAAAGGCCTACGTGCTGGGCTTGTACCGAAGCTGCTTTGTTTCCACCTTAGAGCCTTACACATGCCTAGAAAGCTCTTTTCTCAGCACTGCAATGGCGAACTCCTTCCTCTCTAACCAATGTCACCTCCTCAGAGAGGCCTTTCCTGCCACACAATCAAAAATCACCTTCATACCTTCCTTCTGGTACCTACAGTTTTTCTCACAGCCTTTATTTTGCTCTATTTTCTTCACTGATTTTACGACTGTCTAAAATCATATCTTTATATGTCTACTCATTTACCCTGTGGAATATGAGCTCCACAAAAGCAGGAAGCTTGTCTACCCTGTTGAATACTGTACCCCCATTCCTAGAACAATGCCTGGTAGGTGCTGACTAAATCCGGGTCAGATGAACGAATCTGACAAACGGGAATCCTACCTGCATCTGCGCCTTCTTCATGTTGGCGTTGACGACGGCTGCCATGTAACTGAGAGCGGCCTCGCGAGTTTCACCATTTAACAAAATACTATGCAGAATCTTAAAAAGCTCTTGCTGAAATTTGTTTTAAAAAAAAGAAGAAACAAATTAAAACTATTTTGAACACAATTCCTTTTTGACTTTAAGAACAGCTAGTCTCCTTCCCACGTTCTCTCCTCTCCCACTTCTACTCATTTTAGGAAAGCCTGAGTGAAAGAAGAATATAAAAAATATCCATATTCAACTGTGTCAAGGTAATCAGCATGAAAGCAAGAATATGGAGTGGGGGAGGTGGGCAGTTACAGTATTTTTTTTGGTTTTTTTTTTTTTTGAGACGGAGTCCAGCTCTGTTGCCAGGCTGGAGTGCAGTGGCGCGATCTCAGCTCACTGCAACCTCCACCTCCTGGGTTCAAGTGATTTTCCTGCATCAGCCTCCCGAGTAGCTGGGATTTACAGGCACTTGCCACCACGCCCAGCTAACTTTCGTATTTTTAGTAGAGGCAGGGTTTCACCATGTTGGCCAGTATGGTCTCGATCTCCTGACCTTATGATCCACCCACATCAACCTCCCAAAGTGCTGGGATTACAGGCGTGAGCCACCGTGCCTGGCTGGCAGCTAAAATTTTGATAAAATAGGCTTTGTTACTTCTTTTCCATGATCAAAATTACCTTAGTTATCCAAGCCTATAGCTTCTCTGCCTTTTTTCTTTTTTTGAGATGAAGTCTTGCTCTGTCGCCCAGGCTGGAGTGCAGTGGCGTGATCTCAGCTCACTGCAACCTCCACCTCCTGGGTTCAAGCAATCCTCATGCCTCGGCCTCCCGAGTAGCTGGGATTACAGGCATGCACCACCAAGCCTGGCTAATTTTTGTATTTTTAGTAGAGACAGGGCTTCGCCATGTTGGCCAGGCTGGTCTCGAATTCTTGACCTCAGGTGATCCACCCCCCTTGGCCTCCCAAAGTGCTGGGATTACAGGCGTGAGCCATCACGCCCAGCCCTTCTCTGCCTTTGAGAATTGAAGACATATTAATCTGCATTTGGGATAAGCAAGTCGGTGAGGGGTGTGTGCAAACTAACAGCTCTTGCCCACCCCCAGTGTAAATGGCTAAGGGTCAGCTGGAGGAAGAGCAGGGCCGCTAAGCTTAGGACCAGCTCCCAGTGGTGCTACATACAAAGGCAGCATACTGCTGTTGTTACAATTGTTATTCAAAACACAGGTTACTTACTTAGGGTTTATCTTTTTAATATAAGATCATACTGGATTTTGTTAGCCGTTTGTGTACCAGGCATTGTCCAGTCTACAAAATAGGAGCTCCCTACCTGGAGCTCATCCGTCGTACTTTCTCTGGATTTGTTTTCTGAGCACTTACCCTTCCGAGTTCTAAGTAATGCTGCAATGATTGGCTAACCACTCGAGTGTTTTCCAGGGTAATGGCAGGCCCTGAGAAATATTTTTCAACCACTTTAACCTGAAAAGAGAAGGAAAAAATGCAATCAACACATAGTGTACATTTGGGAAAGAATCTGAATAAAGGAGCAGCAAAGTACAAGTAGCCACTATACTTACATCATCTTCTGCAAAGACTGAGAAGCTAAAGAAAGCCCCCAAGTAAGAGAGTCTCTGCAGCTCCCGCCCACAGCCAGGGCTTAAGGATTTCGGCAACCACAACGGCAAAGAAGCCACCTAGGCAGAAGACGGAAGAGGCCAGTCAAGCCGCTCAATGGGCCGGTGAGGGAAAAATGCAATGAAAACCCGCCAGCTCCTCTATATTTTCACAAGATATTATTAAAACTTATATGTTTCGGCCAGGCACGGTGGCTCACGCCTGTAATCCTAGCACTTTGGTAGGCCAATACGGGTGGGGGTGGGTCACCTGAGGTCAGGAGTCTGAGACCACCCTGGCCAACATGGAGAAAGCCCATCTCTACTAAAAATACAAAAATTAGTCAGATGCGGTGGCGTACAGCTGTAATCCCACCTATTGGGGAGGCTGAGGCAAGATAATCGCTTGAACCCAGGAGGCAGAGGTTGCAGTGAGCCAAGATTGTACCACTGCACTCCAGTCTGGGTGACAGAGCAAGACTCTGTCTCAAAAGAAAAAAAAAGAAGTTTTTATGTTTCAAGATATTATTTGATGAAGTTCAAACGAACTCTTCTTACTTATACTACCAAAGGAATAACTTTTCCATAGGACTTGTTAGTTTAGTTGTACAATACTTATAAAGGAAAAAAAAAAAAATCAGGCCCTGTGTGGTGGTTCACACCTGTAATCCCAGCACTTTGGGAGGCCGAGGCAGGTGGATCACCTGAGGTCAGTAGTTCAAGACCAGCCTGGCCAACATGGTGAAACCCCATCTGTACTAAAAATACAAAAAAAATTTGTCTGGCATGGTAGTGTGCACTTGTATTCCCAGCTACTTGGGAGGCTGAGGCACGAGACTCACTTGAACCCAGGAGGTGGAGGCTGCCATGTGCTGAAATCGCAGCACTACACTCCATCCAGCCTGGGTGATAGAGCGAGATTCTGTCTTAGAAAAAACAAAAAAGGAAAAAAATCATAGAAATGAACAAGCGTAATACAGGAAATAACGTGTCTAACAATAATGTAACAGTTGAGAGCTTTCCAGACACGTTACCTCCGCCTACACCTAAATGTCCTTCAAGAGAAGTTTTCCAGGTCATCTCACTGGAGGAATGCCTTCTGGGTTACGATATATTCACTGAAAACGTGCAAGCCCATCAGGTGAGTGCTTACCAAATTGCACACAGGGTGTGTCTTCCCAAACTTGGTTTCACAGAGCTCACCTAGTGCCTAGAAATAAGATCAGAGTCATTTAAATGCATTTCATCTGAAACTGACTGTCATTTGTAGCATCAAGAAACAGCTTTAACTGCTGCTATAAATGCATTCCCTCTACAATGGCACACATGCATTCCCACTGAAATGGCAGCAGCTTTACTACTTCTTCTGATTAATGAATGAATACATATGCAATGTGAAAAACTTGAAAACAGAAATATAAAATGAAACTAAAAATTACTCAAACTTTACCCTCAAAGATAACCTCTACTGATATTCTGAGCAACAGTTTTCCAGATCTAATTTTGTGCACTGTATCTATCTATCTATGTTTCTTACAAAAATGTTTTTCACATGGGAAGCCTTTGGAAATGCCAGTGGTTATGCCACACCCTTGGTGAATTCAATCGCAATGTCTAGGGCAGGGAGCCAGGCATAAGCCCCTTTAAAGATCCCCAGCTGATTCGAAGGTATGGCACAGCAAGATTCACTGACCCAGCGAATGATCACGATTATTTCTGAGTATAGCTTCCACAGTCTTCCCCTCCCTGACTCTCATTATTGCACCATCTCACTCACTGCACCCTCGTTATTAGACAAGCACCAGTAATGGCACAAAATGAAATCACTGTCTACCACAATGGAGGCCTCTGTCTTTTGACCAAAAGGACATTTTGTTGGTATCAGATGCTAAAAGCTCCTCACTGAAACATCAAGCTAATTCACACCAAAACCCAAAAGCCAACAATCCCATGAAGGAACATTTATATAATACTGTGATCATTAGTGTTCACTAAAATACTTCATCACTGAACTCAAACAATCAGATTATTTCACTTCCTTTCATCTGCCACAGGCAGAACAATACATTCGGATTCAAAAAATTTTATCAGGAGCCCTAGTAACATGTACAATGGAAAGAGCCTGGCGTAAATCCGCTCAAAATTATTTTTTAAAGTAGGAATTCTGGTTTCACCTTCTAATTTCCCAGCATTCTTGTAGCCCTTTAGTGTCATGATAGGTTTGAATTTTTTAAATAGATAAATGCACGCTTTGTGTCCAGCTGTTTTAGCGTTTATCACAGTATCTGTTCAACTGCTGTGCTGTAGCTCTTATTTTTGCAGTAGCCTCGAGGAGAGGGACCTTGTCTTCCTAGCTTCTGAATCTCCAGGTCTAGCACAGAACAGATACTTGGTAATAAATTCATGGTATAATGAAATCCAATCAGTGGAATGAGTTAAACAAATACAGTAAGAAAAACAGCTTAATCATGGTCTCAATTTATGTAAGACTTAATTTATAAATGAAATAAACTAATTTCATTTAGACGTTTTTTCCTTTATACTTCTGCAATGAAAAATATTCAGTAATACTTCAAAATATTTTTCTCCCAAAATTTCAAATAAGAAAATTCAGAAAAGAAAGGGGCTTCTAATTTTCATTCTAGTTTCAGCGTTTTCACAACAGTCAAGTCCCCCCATGGGAATCTAGCTGAAACTTCTGTCCACAATTTACACTTGCTCTAGTGCCTTCAAGAGCTAAGCAGATTTTTGCTTCCCACTGCAGATGAAGTGTATGGTTTTAGGCAACAGGGAAGGTGAACAAGAGAGTTACCCTGAGATTTTCTGCACAAAGTAAACACATAAAGATAAAATTATATTAGTTTTCTTAGTATGTGCAAATTTGCTTTTAATTTACATTTTTAATAGTTTTGGGGGGTTTTTTTTGTTTGTTTTTTGTGAGACAGAGTCTTGCTCTGGTGTCCAGGCTGGAGTGCAATTGCACGATCTTGGCTCACCACGGCCTCTACTTGCTGAGTTCCAGCGATTCTCCTGCCTCAGCTTCTCGAATAGCTGGGACTACAGGGGTGCACCACCATGCCTGGCTAAGTTTTGTATTTTTAGTAGAGACGGGGTTTCACTCACTATGTTGGCCGGGCTGGTCTTAAAGTCCTGACCTCATGATCTTCCCGCCTTGGTCTCCCAAAGTGTTGGGATTACAGGCGTGAGCCACTGTACCCAGCCATTTTTGTTTTTTTAAAAAATAAAATTTCATCCAAGGTATGGTATGTTCATTGCTAAAAGAATCAAAAGGATACCACAATAGCTATCTTTTTCCTAAGCTGTACAGTATGGCAGAGTACATGGTAATAAGGGCGTCACTAACGCCTGTCTACAACTTGGATAGGTGAATAAGTACCAGGCTGTTAACTGTCTTCACTGACGCATCTCACTGCACACCAAACACTGCATGGCCAACACAGTGATTTCATGTTTTAAATGTGAAAACAAGGTTGATCATGAACCTGAAAGAAAAGCGTATGTCAAAATAATCTGAAAGAAAAACATCGATTGAATGAGTTAAAGAAAAAAGAACAATGTTTTACCATGAGGGGGTATTTAAAGTAGTCACTGTCGAGGGAGCACTCTTTGGCAGCAAGAGCCAGGCCTTGTAAAATGGGGAAAAATATCTATAAGAAAAAAAAAAACAAAATCAGAAATATAAGTTTAAGAGAATCTAAGAATGAGAAGCATGACAAATAAGGTGCTAGAACTTAAAGTCCAGGCAATTGCATTCCTTCCCCAGGGAAAAGCTTTTTTGCATATAAAAGTCTAGAATTCCGCCAGAGTGTTCTTTCAAGGCTAACCATGTGGTAATACAGCTGAATTCTCCAGAAGAGGATTTTGTTGAATTCTAATACTCTAACAGGGCTCCTCATAATTCAACAAAACCCATAAATTGGGAGCCTGCTAAAGGACTCTCCAGGGGTCCTCACTCTACTCAACTAAATTCTGCACACCTCGGCAACCAATCTGTTCTTGATTACCAAGCATCCATAACCTGTTAAAAAAAAATTCAAGTAAATGTTCCAATATTTCCTCACATCTATCAATTTTTTTTGAGACGGAGTCTCACTCTGTTGCCCAGGCTGGAGTGCAATGGCGAGGTCTCGGCTCACTGCAACCTCCACCTCTGGGTTCAAGCGATTCTCCTGCCTCAGCCTCCTGCTTCAGCCTCACAAGTAGCTGGGAACTACAGACGCCCTTCACCACACCAGCTAATTTTGTATTTTTAGTAGAGACTAGGTTTCACCATGTTGGCCACACTGGTCTCAAACTCCTGACCTTGTGATCCGCCTGCCTTGCCTCCCCCAAGTGCGGGGATTACAGGCGTGAATCACCGCGCCCAGCCCTCTATCAATATTTTTTAAAAGCCTTTCCTTGTTTATTTCGAGGAAAACGAGATAAACAGGCCAACAATGAATATTATTATTACATTAAGCTTAATTTAGAGCGAAGAGCTAATGGGTGAATGTTGAAATTGAAAAAGAAAGCTTTAGTTAGAAAGCCTTACGTCCACGTATAGTGTAATCAATACATTAACCTGCTATTGGCACTTAAAGGAACTCAAATCTGCTTTTATATGTTATGATTAATGCAGAGTAACACCATGCAAAATTTACTCAGCCTAGCTCACCTTCAAATTTCACAATGTACTCACTGATCAACACATTTCGGGAGTTGGTTGGGATTTAAGGCTAATAACATTGAATAGAAAATGTTGTAAACAACAGCTGACAATCTGAATGCCAACAAGTTGTAACAGGAGTATACCATGCAGCCACTAGAAAACTTGAAAAATTCCCTTTCCTACTAATTTCATCCTATGATACTGAGCACTTTAATCATTTAAAGAGCACAGTATTAAAAAAAAAAAAAAAAAAAAAAAAAAAAAAAAAAAAAAAAAAAAAAAAAAAAAAGGGTCCTGGATGACAAAGTGTCCATGGAGTGTTTTGAGATATCAACACAGCTCTGGAGGAGATCATTCTATGTTTTGTTTTGTTTTATTGGACACGGAGTCTAGCTCTGTCACCTGGGCTGGAGTGCAATGGCAGGATCTCAGCTCACTGCAACCTCCACCTCCCGGGTTCAAGTGATTCTCCTGCCTCAGCCTCCTGAGTAGCTGCAATTGTAGGTGCCCGTCAGCACGTCTGGCTAATTTTTTGTATTTTCAGATGTTGGCCTGGCTGGTCTTGAATTCCTGACCTTGTGATCCGCCCACCATGACCTCCCAAAGAGCTGGGATTACAGGCGTGAGCCACTGTGCCTGACCCATTCTATGGTGTTTGCAATTTGAACAATCAGGGTAGAAGTAACTCACTCTTATGAGCCAGATAAAAATGGAGAAGTCACACTTCTCCACACAGGTGTGGCCTTGGGGAATGCCAAAATTGTAATCAAGAAGAAAAGAATAACAGAGGTTCCAGAATCACCAAAAATAAACTTCATAATTGGTCATCCTGAAAAATCTCCAGATATGTTTTTCAGGAATGCCACAAGTAAAAGTAATTACACTTTCTTGTATAGTTATCTTTTGGTGCAACTAGGGCGTCATTTATAATAGGCAAAATATGACTAAGCATAATATATATATTTTTTTTCTTCAGACAGAGTCTTGTTCTATCACCCATGATGGAGTGCAGTGGCATAATCTTGACTCAATGCAGCCTCCACCTCCTGGGTTCAAGAGATTCTCCTGCCCCAGCCTGTACTTCTCTGGGACTACAGGCATGCACCACTATGCCTGGCTAATTTTTTGAATTTTGAGTAGAGATGGGGTTTCGCTATGTTGCCCTGCCTGGTCTCGAACTCCTGAGCTCAGGAAATCCACCTGCCTCAGCCTCCCAAAATGCTAGGATTATAGCCATGAGCCACCATGCCTGGCCTGACCTATATATTTTAAATAAATTCTTCAGTTTTCAAATGAATACTTCCCAGCACTGATTTTAAAATACCGTCAACCTCCAGTCCTAAATTCGAGCTGTTATTTATTTATTTATCTGTGAACATCTTGCAAACATTAAAAGGAGGTAGAAATTTCAGTCAAAGATTTAATAATTCACATTTGCCACTCTTTTAAGATAAAAAGGTAAAATGCTGTTTTTCAGTTCCATCCCAGTTCTCATTCCTCCCTAGATAAAACACATGGTAGCATATAAGAAAAGACAATGAGGAGTCAACACTGAGTGGCTGAAAAGGCAGCAGAATTCTGGGATTAAAAATAAACAGATCTGGGCCAGGGGCTGTGGCTCATACTTGTAATCCCGGCTCTTTGGGAGGTTTAGGTGGGCGGATCACTTGGGGTCAGGAGTTCAAGGCCAGCCTGGCCAACATGACAAAACCCCGTCTCTACTAAAAATGCAAAATTAGCTGGGCATGGTGTTGTGCACCTGTAACCCCAGGTACTTGGGAGGCTGAGGCAGGAGAATTGCCAGGAGTTAGAGGCTGCAGCGAGCCAAGACTGAGCCACTGCACTCCAGCCTGGGCAACAGAAGGAGATTCCGCCTCTAAATAAACAAATAAATAGGTCTGTGGTGGTCGTATAACACTGTCAATGTAGTAAATGTTGCTGAATTGTACACTTCAATATGGTGGTTTGAGGCCGGACGTGGTGGCTCATGCCTGCAATCCCAGCACTTTGGGAGGCTGAGGTGGGCAGATCACCTGACACCAGCAATTTGAGACCAGCCTGGCCAACCTGGTGAAACCCTGTTTCTACTAAAAATACAAAAAATTAGCTGGGCATGGTGGCAGGTGCCTATAATCCCAGCTACTCAGAGGCTGAAGCATGAGAATTGCTTGAACCCGGGAGGTGGAGGTTGCGGTGAGCCAAGATCACGCCACTGCACTCCAGCCTGGGCAACAGGAGTGAAACTTGGTCTCAAAAAAAAAAAAGAGATTTGAGGTTATATGAATTTTACCTAAATTTTAAAATGCAGAGCTTCTCTATCCAAAACTGGTGACGGGAAAAAACAAACAGAAAACACTCAGAGGTCATTTCATAACCTCTTGTGTAGGCCTGTTTATGAATAAAGTAGGCTCAATATACCCCTTACAGATGTTCACTGGGCTGATTTTCTATAGCGAGAACTACCAGATTCCTCAAGTAATGTCTTCTTGAATAGGAAAAGTATTCTAATTACTGCCCATTACATCTCTAATGCAGTGCATCTCTTAAACCTTCCAAGACAGAGATTTATTTTCCTCAGAGTTCACTTATCCTTCTAGAGAAGAAAAGCTCACTATGTTTCCATTAATATTTCCATAAGTCAATAACATCATCATTTAAGATAAACAGTGAATTCCAGACAAAGTACATAACACTAACTGGAATTTTTATTCTTGAATCCTGGCTGCTTCTTTTACAAATATATTGAAGACTAATGAAAACACAATTCCCAAGAATTCAAAGGTTTTAAAATTAACAGTTATAAACAATTTTAGGTATAAAACAGAGTGAAAGGAATCATACCAATTATAGCTATTGCCTCTGTTATTCTCTGTAGTCACAAAAAAGGAAGTGATGATACAGCAAACTGTAAGAAAATTTGATAAAAACCCTTTCATCAGGGAAAAAAACTGGTGTGAAAGCTGCTAAAGGCAAAGTGCTTACTTTCCCAAAAAGGTCCTTAAAACAGCAATGTTAATGACAAAGTTTCACCTTGGAAGAAACCTTCAAGACTATGTATGCAGCTTTATTTTTAAGCACTACATATCTGCATTTTCACTTGGCTTTACACAGTAAGATACCAAAACCATGTATAAACACCCAATGAAATAATTAGTAAGATATGAGCCATCTTTTCTAGTTTAATGGGAAGAAGACAAATAGTCTAGGTAGCATGCAGGCTGCCAATGAGCTAATATGGTTAAGTTGTTAATCTTACAAACTCAGAGAATGAATTTTTGATACTATTTATCTGGCAAATGCACATCATGCCTTATGCTGTCTCTGGATATTCTTGTTTTAAAAGCTCCTTGAAATCAGGAACAGGGCCGTATATATTTTTTTCTTATTGCCCAAAGTACCTAGCGTAGACCTTGTTTAAAAGCTAGATGTTTGACTGATTTGTTGAAATGGACACATGATTTAAACAATGCAGCTGTCAATGCGATTTCTTCAAAAGAATCTTGGGTTGGCCTCGTCTCTAAGCAACTGACACATGGATGTTTGAATTCAGGCATAAGTTTTCAATATATGGTGTATTCAGAAATTAGCCTTGGCATAGAAGCTCTCGGGCTAAAATTTCCAAGAGCAAACTCATACGATCGTACCTGCTTGAACACTTCTTCATCCTGGTGAGTGGTTCTCACCAGTTCCTGAATGAAGCCATATGGGAGATTCCTACACAGCATATACGGCACTAGGAAGGACGGCTGCTGCAAGGACCTGTGGACCCATGAACATTAGGGACGGTGATGAAGTCAACTCACTACAGAATCACGTGAAATGTCATGTCAGCAACAACTGTCCAGTCAAAAGTCAAACTTGATATCTCCCAAGCATTCTGCAAGATGGTTTCAGGCAAAAGCTAACCCTTCTTACCAACAGTAATCACTTTTAGTCTTTTTTAATGAGATACTATGGGAAGTTTCAAAGCCTTCACCTTTTCCTACATAGAGCCCTTTAAAAATGAAGCACTGAATAAAGGAAGCATGGCCAGGCATGGTGGCTCACGCCTGCAATCCCAGCACTTTGGGAGGCCAAGGTAGGAGGATCACTTGAGGCCAGAAGTTAAAGACCAGCCTGGGCAATGCAGCAAGACTCTGTCTCTACAAAAAATGAAAATATTAACTGGCCAAGACTGTGTGTGCCTGGAGTCCTAGCTACTTAGGAGGCCAAGGCAGGAGAACTGCTTGAACCCAGGAGGAGTTTGAGGTTACAGTGAGCACTCTAGCCTAGGCAATAGAGAGAGATCCTATCTCTCTTTTTTTTTTTTTTAAAAAAAAAACATTTTTTTTTTTTTTTTTTTTTTTTTTTTTTTTTTTGAGATGGAATCTCACTCTTGCCCAGGCTGGAGTGCAATGGCATGATCTTGGCTCACTGCAATCTCTGCCTCCCGGGTTCAGGCAATTCTCCTGCCTCAGCCTCTCGAGTGGCTGAGATTAGAGGTGCCCACCACCAGGCCCAGCTAATTTTTGTGTTTTTAGTAGAGATGAGGTTTTACCACATTGGTCAGGCTGGTCTTGAACTCCTGACCTCTGGTGATCCACCTGCCTTGGCCTCCCAAAGTACAGGGATTATAGGCGTGAGCCACCATGCCTGGCCGCATTATATGTTTCTTTTACTTTTTTATGCCTCATCCAAATTGGGGAAAAAAAAAATTAGTAGTGGCTGAGGACTTTTAAAAAGTCATTAATTTTAATCATGGGACGTTTTTCAAAGTTTTGGTACATGTATATAATTTTCATTCTTTTTGAAAAGTTTCAAAAACATATGGTTATAGCACAGAAAATTATGTAAGAACAGCTAGCATAAATAAATGTAACATGTTTGTGAACTTTTATATTATTCATTTCTTCTTATTATTATTTTTTGAGACAGTCTCGCTCTGTTGCCCAGGCTGGAGTGAAGCAGAGTGATATTGGCTCACTGCAACCTCCATCTCCTGGGTTCAAGTGATTCTCGTACCCCAACCTCCCCAGTAGTTGGGATTACAGGTGCATGCCACCATGTCCAGCTAATTTTTTCTATTTTTAGTAGAGACGGGGTTTCACTGTGTTGCCCAGGCTGGTCTTGAAGCCCTGAGCTCAGGCAATCCGTCTGCCTCGGCCTCCCAAAGTGCCAGGATTAGAAGCGTGCGCCTGGCCTATAAACTTTTACTTTATTATTATTTTTTTTATTTTTTGAGATGGAGCCCTGCTCTGTCACTTAGGCTAAAGTGCAGCGGCGTGATCTTGGCTTCCTGCAACCTCCAGCTGCCGGGTTCAAGTGATTCTCTGGCGTCAGTGTCTGAGTAGCCAGTATTACAGGTGTGGGCCACAACGCCAGGATAAGTTTTTTTGGTTTTTAGTAGAGATGGGATTTCGCCATGTTAGCCAGGCCAGTCTCCTGACCTCAGGTGACCCACCAGCCTCAGCCTCCCAAAGTGCTGAGATTACAGGTGTGAGTCACCATGTCCGGCCTCAACTTTTAAACGTAAACTTTTTCCTTTAGATATTTCTTATATAAAAGAAATGAAATATACATCCTTTTTTTAAAAAACCTGCAAACTTTAGAAGACTGAGAGGCAAAGAAAAATAATTTTAAAGACCAAAATAGGCCGGGCGTGGTGACTCATGCTTGTAATACCAGCACTTTGGGAGGCCAAGGGGAGCGGATTAAGAGGTGAGGAGGTGGAGACCATCCTGGTGAACATGATGAAACCCCGTCTCTACTAAAAATACAAAAAAAAAAAAAAAAAAAAAAAAAAAAAAAAAAAATTACCAGACATAGTGGCAAATGCCTGTAGTCCCAGCTACTTGGGAGGCTGAGGAAAGAGAATCACTTGAACCTGGGAGGCGGAGGTTACAGTAAACCAAGATCATGCCACTACAATCCAGCCTGGGCAACAGGGTGAGACTCTGTCTCAAAAAAACAAAAACAAAAACAAAAATGTGTAACCTTTATGGGATTCTCAGAAGCAAGTAATGTAGCACTTTGGTTGGATTCCTAGGCTATCCATTCCATTACTCTTCTTTATTACTCAATAACAGAAACTGACTGTTACACATGGACGGTGATGCTCCACACATTTTATCAAATACCTCCACCAACTTTAGGCAGCTGCTGTGCAGTCAGTTACTAATTTTCTGCCTTGCTTGTTCACATATTTCAACATGGTCTATTTCAAAAAGCAGGCAGAATTCTTCAAACATAACAAATTTCTTTTTAAAATATGCTTTGCACTACTTTAGAAGATGAGGAAGAAAGGAGTGTTTTGTTTTCACAGTATTTTAGGGAAGGAAAGGAACCTTCATTTTATAGGCGAGGAGGGAAGTTATCCAAGGTGGTGCTAGAATGGCCAGGAAGCCTGATATCTACTGCTGACTAGGGCCTTCTGCCTGCTAATGTCAAGCGCGTCACGGGTCTTCATACCTGGGCTGTGTCAGGGAGCCTTGTAGTACTAAAGCAGTATGGGATATGCACTGCGAGCGGATGTTGCTCAGAAGCTGGCTGACTGCTGGCTGGCTGCACATCTGAGAAGGAAAGGTAGAAGTGAGGCCAACAAGAAACAAACAGTACAATTTCATGCTGTAAAAACAAGACATAAAAGAGACGGACCATCAGTAAACAGTGTGCTTTCTTCTTCCTTTATTCTTAGTGAATGAGCTACAGAAACTATGCCTTCCAAGTGTACTGCCTCTGCAGAAATTGATGTCAGAGAAGAAAGAAGCGTAAGTTTGAGATGACCAAACTCACACTTAAGAACCTTGGAGGTCAGGCACAGTGGCTCATACCTGTAATTCCAGCACTTTGGGAGGCTAAAGAGAGAGGATCACTTGAGGACAGGAGTTTGAGACCAGTCTGGCCAACACGGTGAAACCTCATCTCTACTAAAAAAAATACAAAAATTAGCTGGGTGTGGTGGGAGGTGCCTGTAATCCCAGCTACTCAGGAGGCTAAGGCAGGAGAATTGCTGGATCCCAGGATGGGGAGGCTGCAGTGAGCAGAGTTAGTGCCACTGCACTCCAGCCTGGCGACAGAGCGAGACTCCTGCTCAAAAAACTTTGGAGACATGCCCACTCGTTTTGCTTCTGCTAAGGTTAAGTACAACAAAGCCCAGAGAGGGCCCTTTACAAATATGAAACTAAACAGTGGACAACCAATCAGTTTCTAACGTAAAACTACAATCGGAAAGTGAAATAGGAATAAAATGAGAAAACAATGAAGCCAGTCCAAAGAAGTGATGGGAAAAGGGTGGCTTACTGAGTTTCAGCCCAGCCTTGCAACTCATTATTTATGTGATTCTGGACAAGTACTTAGTCTCTCTGAGGGTCATTTGCTTATTCATACAATGGAAAAAGAATGCCTATTATATACCGGGCTTCACTGCACTAACAGAGCAACCGTGCTGATACGAGCCAATGTAGACCTGGCACAGCCCTTGGCAATCTACAGAGGCTCCATAATGTTGCTCACTATAACAAACCAGCAGAATTATCAGGGCCATGTGAGTCATTGGTGGTACCCAGCTACAGTGTGGTCAAGAGAGGACTCTGAAGCCAGACCACCTAGGTTCACACCTTGGCCCTGTCTCCACTAGAATTTGAGTTCCACGAGGGCAGGAATCTCTGTTTTGTTCACTGACACGTCCTAAGTTCCCAGTGCTGTGCCTGGCACATGGCAAATGCTCAATAATGACTTTACTGATTGAATAAATAAATGAATGCCCCAGGGGTGGGGATAATCAAACAATAACTAGGCTTTTTTAAAATTTTAATTGAATCCATTTCACATTACCTTTGGTGCTTTTTTTTCCTCTATTCCAACTCGGTCGAAACACTCGATGAGGTAGTTCAGCATATCTGTCTCTTTGCAGGTTTCAATGGTGAAATGGTCACTGTAGGAATCCCAATTACTTGCTCCACCAGAGGCTCCCAAACTTTGGAGAGGATACAAAGAAATTATGACTCTTATCTCTCAATTATTTTTGGCAGAGTTTGCGTTTCTGCAGCAGAAAGCCTGTTAGGATCCCTGCACACATAACAAAGCACAAATACCCATGCGGCCAAGATTCACCCTGACTGCTTGTTTCACCTGCTCCAAATCCAACAAGAGCAACTTTTGGTAACATTTTAGGGACCTGAGAAGGGGGCTTTATTTTCCTGCAGATGGCAACTTATAAAACCAGAAGCACTAGGAACTGCTACCAAGTGCTAAGCATTGGAAGAGACATCACAGGCACTTTAACCAAAAAGAAGGGCATCACTCAGAGACCTGTAGGTTAAAGCCAGACACTATGCTGCTGCTGTAATCAAACTGTTTAGAAGTTATAAAGGACTAACGAAATAGCCCTCATCTTTGTGACTTCTACTGTAGATCTCAAAAGCCCTCATCTAGCACCTGGCAAGAGAGCCAGAGCTTAAGAAAACTGTCCAGTTAGGAGGAGACATGAACGTATTTGCTATCAACATAAACAACTCCAAAACTATGAGTGAAAAAGGCAAAGCAGTATAGTACATGACAAAATAAAAATATTGTACTAGGAGTAACTAGACGTGGGTTCTAGTCTCAACCCCATTGTTCACTTGTCACCTGAACCTAGAACCTCTATCTCTTCTGCAGTTGAGCTTCAGTGAAGTAATGTGGAGGTGCTTTGTAAAACATAAGCAGCATACGATGTGAAGTACTGTGATGTTAGTAATAACTATCCTCTGAGACAAAAACCAAACATAATCACAAGGGTTAAACTTGAGGAAATTAAACAAAGTTAAAATCAACCATTGACAGGCCACATAATGAATCTGGTGTTTAACTCACAAACTGATTTGATATACATAAAAGATACACAGGGATTAATTACAACAAAGGAAAAAGTACAGAGTACTAAAATGAAGGAAATGAGAAAACATAAACGTAGCCAAAAAAACTACATACAGAAATGATAAAGAATGGGAACATGGCCAGGTACAGTGGCTCATGTCTGTAATCTAGCACTTTGGTAGGCCAAGGCAGGTGGATCACTTGAGGCCAGGAGTTGAAAACCTGCCTGACCAACATGGCGAAACCCCTTTCTACTAAAAATACAAAAATCAGTTGGGCGTGATGGTGCACATCTGTAATCCCAGCTACTTAGGAGGCTGAGGCACAAGAATCACTTGAACCTGGAGGAGGTTGTTGCAGTGATCTGAGATCATGCCACTGCACTCCTGCCTGAGTGACAGAGAGAGACGCTGTCTCAAAAAAAAAAACAAAAAAGGCCGGGCGCGGTGGCTCAAGCCTGTAATCCCAGCACTTTGGGAGGCCGAGGCGGGTGGAT